TAAGGCGAGAGTTGACTGTAAATAGTGTATCAACGAACAAATATACTGTGATGTCATAGAGAAATATCGACAATTTTATAGCGTGACAATAATTGCACAAAGAATAATTAATAATTGACAACAATAAGTCAAAATTGATGGTTAAATTGACTCAATCACTGTCAGTGTGGTTTCGTACTGAAACAGGGGCCACTTTGACAAGGCAGTGTTATTAACCAATCACAATGCAACCTTTATTTAAAGTGCTCAAGGTTTTTTGAATAAGCCAATCACATTTCAAATTGATATAGCAAGAGTGTGGGAATACTTAGATCTGATTGGATCACAGTTTGTATTTACTGCACTCTGATTGGATAGGTTTACTGGCCCTTGTTTCAGTTGCTGCACTGTAATGTTATTGTAAAAATCTAATAAACAAGTGAAAAATGCAAAAAAAAATGAAAATCTATTTAAAATTTATATCATCAACATACGGAGAACTACATTTAGTGTTTTTCTCATCAGCTGTAAATATTTTAGCTTTGAAATGCAGTTTTYCTGACTTATTTATATTATTATTAAAGCTCTTTCCCCAAAAAAATCTTGGTGCCTAATAATTACTTTGCCATGTGCCCAATAAGGACTTGCACAAAAGAAGCCATGCGCTCAGGCCTAGCACAGCCCATAGTCAACACTTATTATTGGTTAAGTAGACTTAAGTTTTCAATAAAAGACATCCAGCTAGGGGCTGTTACTCGATCATTTTTATTCAAGATGGCGGCGGGTCCCCAGGGCCTCAGTCCAATTTTAATTATCACTCGGTTTGTGGGAAGGGACAGGAAGCCCGACACGAAAACGGATGCGAAGGAGAAGGGTTCGTATCCCACTAACGACAAGTGATTGACGTGTGTCAGTAACCTGGTATCAAGTCGGCACCAAATATGGTCAAAAACTATTTGCATATAGTATATAAAAAGAATAAATTGAACAAAAAGGCACACAACTTGCAACGGCTCTTCGGCCTTCAGCATATATATAATTGGTACCAAAAACAGGCAAAAATCTCAAATTTCACAAAAGGAATTCCTCTCGATCGATTGTAGATTGCTGTATTTACCATGGCTAACATTTCTCTGGGTCATGATACTAGTAGCGGATTGGATATATGTGTCTTCTCCGTTCAGTTGTTCAATCCCTATAACATGACAAATCGTCCGAACTCTGTACCCCCACTTTGGATATTCCTCAATGTATTCAACGNAATGGAGCCAATAAATATTTACCACAGACTACCTCGAGTATAAATCAGTTGCTATTTCTCATTAGCAAAATCCATAGCTACTTTCTGTTGTGAAATCGCCATTCGACAATTGACATTCACTATTTTATTCGACAGTTTTTGAAATGGGTATATTTACGACTACTATAAGGTCTGTCTCACATAAGCCGACTATTCAATGCGAAGTTACCAGGGCCGTAGACAGAGTGAACCGAGGCAAGCGACCGCCGAAGGCTGGAGGAACTAGGGGGGTTTGGAGGCTCGCTCGCTCGGAAATGCGATTTGCAGCSTTTTGTGGTACTTTTGGTATTACTTTTTATTGAACAGATTTAACCGGAATTTATCATGCAATATTTATGAAACAAAGAAGCTATACGTACAAGATTAATATCATTTTTAATTTTTTTGCACAAAATCAGCCGTACTACGAAATGCGTCCCTGAGAGGCTAAAACGATATCAGTGATGAAAACAAAAAGCATCGGGAAAATTTTACCTGGGCGAGTGCCTCAGTTGGCCTCTAACTAGCTACGGCCCTGTTCACCAATATTTGCTTTTCAGCAGTATGTATTCACATCATTTGCATTCGGCACACGGGGAGTCCATGTTTCCTTTCTCTGTTTCACTCAAGGTTTTCGCATCCTCGACATGTATTGCGTATTCATAGCGTTACAATAGTGGCAAATGTAGTCCAGGTAACCGATGCCCTAAAATAGCGACAAAAATCACGACGTATGTGTTTTATTTGCGAATCTTGCGAGCTCATTTGCAGTTTCTGCAAAGAAACAGTAAAATCGTGATTCAGGAACCATTATAGCCGACATAAATTCGTTGCACAGTGCTTTATATCAATTCCACATCAATAATGATTGTCATTATACAATTATCATYATTTCCCACTATATATAGAGACAAATGACTACTCGTCTAGGACGGAAAATTCGGGAGTTCAAGACGAAAAACAAATCTAGTTTACTCGCCATTTCTGATTTCCATCGGCTTGGATGGACAAACAGTCCCTGGAAATGGTTGCAAGGTCATTCTGAAAGCGGGTTAGTTTTGATTGACTTTGAAGGTGATTATCCGTCATAGACGACTTATCTATGTCTAGAGCAAAATCTGTATAGTTTAAACGTAGGACAAAAGTGAATGATCATATATTTATTTGCTTTTCGTTTTGAAATTTTATTCTTTATCAGACCACAATGTGCAAAATAACAAAAAAATCGTAGTTGACACGTGAAATAATATTTCTGATAGATATCGAAAAATTTCACATGATGGCATGGTCAAAAAAAATTGTAGTTGACACGAAATAATATTTCTGATAGATATCGAAAAATTTCACATGATGGCATGGTTCTGAATACTTTATTGCCACTTATGATTTTTATCGTTTTAAAACGATTTTTGGCTTACAGTACTCTAGAATTCACAGGACTCAAAGCTTAGTGTTCGTATTTAGTAATACCACGAATTATAGCAATTTGCCCTGAAGTTTGCAGCATTATCTCACAACATCTTGACTCTCTCTTCATTGCTTTTTTTTCTTTTGAGGAGGCTGTTTCGAAACACTGTCGGATCCTCTCTTTTGACCTTGTCCAGGAATAGCAAGTCCTGGTTTGGACATTGTTGAGGCTGCTGGTACCGAACTAAGTCCATTCACAGCAGTGTCGTTGATTTGAAGATTTGGATCTGGTGTTTCTTTTGACGTATCTCCCATATCAGCGTTTGTATCTTCGACCTCTTTTTTTAATTTGACTGGAAGAGAAAATTAGATATCTTGTTCGTGAGGAGTTTGTTTTTTCGCCTGTGGCCAAATTCTTTATACAACACAAACAACAACAACAAATAATTGCAATATATTGTCTTTATCTTTATGAATATAACAGAGCTGCCGTAACACAATATGTTTCATCATTTCTATCATTGAAAGAATTACTAAAATTATTACTCAAAATTGCCCTATTTCTCTGTGGTATCATTTCAAAACGTCCTATTGTTTTAACAAAAAGGATATGGTCACCACATGAAGACAGAATACAGTCAACTCTCGGCTATTACGGACACCCTTTTGGGACCGTAATTTAGTGTCCGAAGTAGCGAGAGTCCGTAATAACGCGAGTTACTTTCAGTCCTTTCTTTGTATTTTTCTCCGGGGATTCAGTATTCATGTCCGTAATATCGAGGTGTCCGTTATAGCGGGGTGTCCGTAAGGCGAGAGTTGACTGTAAATAGTGTATCAACGAACAAATATACTGTGATGTCATAGAGAAATATCGACAATTTTATAGCGTGACAATAATTGCACAAAGAATAATTAATAATTGACAACAATAAGTCAAAATTGATGGTTAAATTGACTCAATCACTGTCAGTGTGGTTTCGTACTGAAACAGGGGCCACTTTGACAAGGCAGTGTTATTAACCAATCACAATGCAACCTTTATTNGTATTTACTGCACTCTGATTGGATAGGTTTACTGGCCCTTGTTTCAGTTGCTGCACTGTAATGTTATTGTAAAAATCTAATAAACAAGTGAAAAATGCAAAAAAAAATGAAAATCTATTTAAAATTTATATCATCAACATACGGAGAACTACATTTAGTGTTTTTCTCATCAGCTGTAAATATTTTAGCTTTGAAATGCAGTTTTCCTGACTTATTTATATTATTATTAAAGCTCTTTCCCCAAAAAAATCTTGGTGCCTAATAATTACTTTGCCATGTGCCCAATAAGGACTTGCACAAAAGAAGCCATGCGCTGTTAGCACAGCCCATAGTCAACACTTATTATTGGTTAAGTAGACTTACCTGTGCCAGTAGTGGAACCAGGTCCAACGGATTCCTATTGCAGAATTACAGAAGGTAGATTTGAACGATGTCATGTAATGCAAAAACCATGTCCGTGTGGTTGTTAYGAACAATATTATTGGCACTTATTAGGAAGTGAATCATAATTGTATGAAAAACYCCAATTACAYTAATAATGAGAAATAATTTATTGATATAAAACAAAAATAGCAGCTGTGTGGCACCAAATGGAAACCAGCTTTTTGTTTGATTGCTTGCTCATTGAAAACAATGACCCTTAAAGATAATAGCATGTCAATCTTCCTGATTCCATAAGTAGGTCCTAGTTCCCTCTGTGTTGATTTTTAAAAACCATGGCTTATGGAATCAAACCAGTCAACCATTTTTAGATAAACTTTTTCTCACCTTAATCACATTGGGAGGGAATTGTTTCGATAACTCTTCTAATAACTGATTTACACCTTCTCGTTGRAACAGTGAACTTGCTTGATTGGACTTTGTATCTGTTGTACTTTTTGAATCTAAGAAAATCATTGACATGTAGTAATCAATCACTTTGATGGATGGTAGGTATGTACACTTAATGATTTTTGGATTGAGTGGTGCCACAAGGTCAAACGCGACTTTCAAAAATGGTGGTAATCATGACCACCAATATTGGGGTACTAGTGAGAAACCATTGAAACAACACCTCAAAGGCCTTATATCTAAAAATCACTACGAAGATTGCATGTATGGCAGTGTCCAAAAGTTTGAAAGATGTATTGGTATGATATTTATAACAAAACACTCTTGCAAGACACCATCCTTTGAGACCTCATTTTAGTGCTTCGTCCCCAGTACCCTGGTTGGCAACTGTGACATATAGCGCCATTTTGACAGTCATGAAAGCAGCAAATAATAATTGAGAATTAGAGAAAATGAGCACCTGTTTTCTTCTGAGAATCTTTAAATTGCCACCAGTATCCTTTGGATGGGTGATATCTTGAATATGAGACAGCTTCAACAAAGCAATAGCTTAGTATATATACCGGTATATAATAGGTCTTATGATAAACACGATATCACACTAACAAGTCTATCATAAATACCTTCTTTGAAGGCTGATTCAAAGTTATGCAGTGCTGATAACTGTAAGTTTAAAAACAAGGAAAAGGTTACGAAAGATGGCTTGTGTTAGCCAAACATTAAATTAACCTTAAATAATAGTCTCCTTCACGGTTACATGCGCCATCTTGAAAGGTAGCCATGCCTTTACAYCTAAGCAAGACAACTGTTGAGCATGCAACGATAGATACCAGTGAATAATTGTCTGTAGGTGTGAAAGAAGGTTTCTATCATTACATGCTCAAAGGTCGTCTCGCTTCGATGCGAAGGCACYCCTACCTTTCAAGATGGCGCAGGGAACCGCGAAGAAGGACTATTGTTCAAAGATTAACACTGTTTGCTGAAAAACAGAGAAGAATAGAATATGTTCACAGGCAATCTGGATGAGGTTTAAAACAGCTCTTCTAGTTGCGAGTTCACATTCAAAATTTTTATGTCATCAAAGCTAAGACTGAAATAAAGTATGGGGTATCAAAAAAAGTCACACTTTTTTACTAACCATTCTTGAGTTGATAACAGAACACAAGTCTGGTGCCTGGTAAACGATGCCAGCAAGTATATAATAATCAGATATTGGTGTAACTGGAAGCAACAGAAAGAAACGAAATTTGAAGTGCATTGAAACAAACACAAAAAAGTTTGTTTTGTAGTATGAGGAAACATGAAAAAAAAAAACACTAACAATTCGTAGAGCCATCTATGTGTAAGTGCTCTTTACAGCCTCTACTTTCATTGGGCCTCCTGTCCTGTCGCTTTATTGTGTCCGACACTTGTGCGATCTTYTTGCAWCAACTTCAAAATTGAATCCCCCMACTGACCCACAKGAATACAAATTGTCTTGAGGTCTTGGTTTTATATGGTTTTGTCTAATGTAAACATACCTTGTGTAGCGGAATGCCTGTGTTGCTTTCGAATAACAAATAAAATAGGATCTTGTACGTGGATYACTTCATATTCGATTCCAGACATAGTTCTGCAAATTAATCAGATAACTTAGCTAATAAGCTTGTTTTCTTTTGGTCTATTGATGTGATTAATGTGTGTAAACTAGAATAATATAGCAGATCATAACTGTRCACTGCTGTAACACATATATATCAAAGTATTCTATTATATAACTTGTATTCAGTTACAAAGCTACAAGGAAGAAATGTGGCATATGACAAATTATCGGGCAAATAAGATCACTCACTGAAGAGCAGTAGGATCCAATCTTTGCATTTTCACTACTTCATTATTACAAGTTCGATCATAAAAAGGATTAGTTCTTTGCGAAAAGTATTCTAATACATTTGTTGGGTTAAGAATTGGAATCCAAACACTATCATGCCACGAAACGCCAAGCTGATTTTCTGAAGGATCGGCCGCCATATTGTTTTTGTCTGTTTGGCGTCATTGGTCTTCCTGTGTCCTTCGCTGTGTATATTATTCTCGCATATTCGGGCAATAATCGTAATTTACGAAGTAAGTCCGAAAAATGACGAGGGGCACGCGACATCAAGTAAACTGCTGGATTGATTTATTTGCTGGCTCATTAGTACATTCAAAATGGCGGCGCGCTTGGGAGTTTTTGCTCATATGCTATATGATGCATACGACCGATGGATACAGAATGAATGATTGAAGTGGTGTACAGTGTATTTATAACTAAGAACGCGGATGCAAATGACACAGAAAAAGAGAAATAGTATTTACAATAGTCATGAAAAATATCTTGTTTAGAACGTATTTATTACTTTCAAGCTTGGCATTGTCCATTTTGRGCCACAAATGTCATCGAAATATGGAAACGTTATGGCTTACTGAAGCAGGGTCAGCACCTGTGGTTTCAAGTCCATTKCTAGCTGATATTAATGGGGATAATATACTTGATGTTGCTGTGACAACATTTGATGGACAGCTGTCAATATTGAATGGTCAGACTGGTCATCAACTTCCTGGATGGCCATTTGATGGTGTCAAGGGAACCTTTCATGCAGCACCATTACTGGTAGGACTTCCAGCCCAGCTTAGTGCACATTCACTAACAWCAGACAAGATTGAGAAATAGGAAAAGCCTGGATGCTAATWTGCTTTCAAGCTCAGAGTCRATTCAATAAAACYGYGAGCACCTAAAATATGTRTGGAATGTTTGTACCAGCATAAACATTTTTATAAAAGCCATATTAAGGGCAATAAACTTCACTTGTAACCATAAGAAGATCAACCTTCCTCTAATTTGTCATCTTGCTTACAGCTGTAAATGATTGTTTGTTAATTTTTTCTTTTTAGTATGATGTTGACAAAGATGGGTTGAAYGAAGTRTTGGTGTGTACAACTGATGGTCAAGTTATTTTASTCAAACCWGAYGGAAGACCAGTTCCTGGACAAAGAATATCACAAGTATGCTATACCTGTCARTCATCGCAGTTATAATCAATAATTCAATCAACCAACCAGTCATTAAATCAGTAAAGTGCAAGCCACTTATTGACATTTATACCACTTAGATTCCTCCATTAAAAATTCAGAAGGAATGGTATATTGCAAAACCACATCAGAGAAATAGAAATGAGCCAAGAATGAAWGCACAGTTTGCAGAATATTCAGAATTCATTACAAAACAGGTAGAAAATACTATGTTTTAGCAATTTGATAACTTTATTTCCTGCATTCCTTCATTCTTTCTTTRTTCCAGTCTTTATAATGTTCTTTATTCTATGCCATTCCTTTTTCTTTTCTTTTATTGTGTCCTTCATGTTTTCATTTTTTCCATTTTTCCTCCCTTTCAACTTATTTTTCTCTCAAAAAAAAAAACTTATTTTTCTCTCTTCATTCTTCTCTTTCTTTTCTCACCCCTCACATCCATCCACTGTTCCCTAATCTGTCTCTTTTAATTCTACACTGTATCTAAGACAGCAGTGGTCAAAAATCATGTCCTATCGGTCGAGTGCATACCTCTATACCAAATTCATATGAAGTTCTACTTTTTCTAGCTCAAAGATGAAGTAAGTGGTGAAGACAAATTAAACCATCAAACATCTTCACCTCCATCTGGTCTTTCTGCAGATGGTTCWCATGTTTATGTTGATGTTCATGTTCTGTCGACACCAGTTATTGCTGACTTTAATCAAGATGGACTTGAAAATGAGCTCATTGTTGCAGTTAACTTTTACTTTGATGAAATGAAGTATGTGAAGAATCAATATGATTATAATACAGTGTAGTTCTAATGACATTAATGTTTTTCTCTTATTTCTTGAATAGTCTGTATGTGACTGTATGTAGGGACACAATACTCCAGTTTCGAATTCATAGCGAAAAACTGCTGCTTTATTTGACAACAGATTCTCTTGCGCAAAAACCTGACTAAACACAAAAGATAGCACGAAAAAATGTTGTTACTACAATAACCTTGAAAATTTGCATTTTCCCCAAGTTGAGACTAACCCTGTATTCCCATAAGACTTAAGGTATGGGCCTTCTGGGAATACAGGGTTAGCCTCAACTCAGGTAAAATGTAAATTGTTAGCACTATTGTACTTAAAACATTTTCTCGTGCTTTCTTTTGTCTTTGGTAAGTTCTTTGCTTAATTGAATCTGCTGTCAAATAAAACAGCGGTTATTCGCTTTGAATTCGAAAATGGAGCATTTTTGAGAAAAAAGCATTATGTGAAATTTCATCTAAAATTGTCTGACTTTCCCTTTCAAAAATCTGTTCTTGATTTTCAAACAAACAAAAAGCAAAAATGGATTTGGGGGATTGGACATAAAATTTTTCATCTTTACAGAGTCTAATGACATTGTACATATTCCCATAAGCCTGGCACAACAAAAACTGAAATATCATGTCATTCTTTGTCATTTTGCTGCAGTATCTTTTGTAAGATTGATATTATAAGTCATGCGATATCATTCAATTGGTTTTTTAGACTACTGTCGCATCCAAAAGACTCAGCTCTGGCTGCCAAAGACCTAGAGAACTATCTTGGCAGCGGCATTGTTGTTTTTAATCTTGATAAAGGAGATATCATCTATAAAACTGTACTTGAAGTCACTAAGGTACATCTTGGGTTTCCTGTGGTTATGTTCTAATTGTTTGGGTTTCCTGTGGGCAACTTCTTTTAGTCTGGACTATAAGATAATATAACTTTGGCTTTCATTGGTTTACCACCATTCTCTTGCAGATGGTTTTGGCTTACTGTGGTTATCACCTGATGTTCTTGGTTTTCTTTGTGCATGCTATATTACAAAAAAAATCTGTTATATTATAGTAAAACATGGGAACATTATCGTTGAGAAAGGCATAATTCAAATTAAAGCATACATCAATAATTGCACTAAGTGGTTTTGCTTGAACTCTAATGAAATGCAAAATGAATGAGATTTTAAAATCATATTTCWCAAATTCATTAATAATGTGTGGTGAAATTCATAGCAAAATTTCATTGTAATTTTGATACTAAATTTGCTGCAATTTTTCTTTGTTTTATTCCATTGATAATTCATAAAAAGAGTGTTCCTATTATTCATTGTACTCTAGAGATCAAGTCTTTATCCTGGTTATGTGMTATCACTGCCTACAGCATTAGATAATACCAGCATTGTCATTGGTACATCAGTAGGAAATATATATGTAATCAAAGGGACAAACAAAGAGCCTAAAATACTGACAACTATGGATAGCATACAGGGACAGGTAAACCAATAGCTGAATTTATAATTTTATTTGTCATGCACTTGGTATATAACTTCCTCTTATACAAGAGTCCTTGACTGTGTTCTATATTGTCCTTGTCCTTGCGCTGTTACTAAAACCATTATTTAATGAATTACTTCTAATTCAATGTTTGTATGTATTTGCAAAGATAAGTGTAGCYGATACCAATGACGACGGACATCTGGAACTTCTGACTGTGGATGATAGTGGTAATGYTGCATGTATTGACATGGAGGGGAAGAGAGTAAGAGCTTATTCATATTTACTTTAATGTTATTTATTGGTGTTTCTGGTAATAGTTGATGATTAATRATTGTTAATTAATTCATTTGTTTTCTCTTATTGTCATTGATTTTATTCATCCATGTACTAGTCATTCTCTTGTAAACTTGTCCATATTTATTTATTCACGGGTTTCATTCTCCATTCATTTTATTTCCCATTTATTAATTCYTATGTTTTTATTTATTCACTCATGAATCATTAGATAAACACTCATTCATCATTTACTCATTCATTTGTCATTTGTTCATTAACGTAATGTTTGCTCATTCATAGCCTCATCCATAGGTTTCTCTTTCATCTCTGTCTTTTTAAAAATAAAGGCTTCCTGTCAGGAAACTGAAATTTATTAAAAACTGGAAAAGTGGGATGCCTGCAGAGGGAGCTAGCTCACTCATTCATCCATTTAATATTTTTTTACTTGTTTGTTCATCCATTCCATCCAATGTTCTTTATTTATTTATTCAATCCACTCATGACATTTTATTCTGTTTGCTGTCACAGGTATGGGAAAGAAGAATTTCAGGTTCACCAGCTTCAGGAATACGAGTTGCAGACATCAATGGCGATAATTTGCTTGATGTTGTCTTTGCATCRTATGATGGTTACATGTGGGTGCTTAATGGTGATAATGGTAAGATCCTGCCAGGCTGGCCAATCAAGCTCCCTAGTGAGATAMGAGCTACTGTATTGGTGACTAAACTACGACCTGGGGAAGGAACTGRCCTTGATTTGGTAAGAAATACTTGAAATGCTGTCTATATACCTCAAGGTTTGCTTTTAAAGACTGAAATTGATTCCCAGACCAGGTACATGTAGTCAAGCTGTGCCCTTTGGTAACAGATGCTTTTAGCTACTTATGTAGCTCATATTCTTTGATAATAATGACAAAGGTCCTGATAGAAAGGAACCCATATCAGTATTTAAGAGTGAGAGTATATAATTATTTAGGTCATTAAGATCAAGGTTGTGTAGTAGAAATCAGTTTTTTTTAATGTATATTTAGGTAATTCCTCTTCTAGATGGTGTACTAGCCATTATTAGAGGAAGTGATCAGTGTACTGAATTCATTGAGACYGGGTTACCAGCCTTTTCTTCCGCTGTATCTGCAAAGTTGTTACCATGGAAACAAGGCTTAGAGGTTGTAGTTGGCAGTACAGATGGTACAGTTATTTGTCTTGGAGAAGCTACTAATTCTACAGAAAGGTAAAATGTAATTTGTATTTCTGCTAATATTTGAGTAAAAAGGCCATAGAAATACAGTACAAACAATAAACGTTTGCAAAAAAAAACCTGTAGAGTAGAAAAGGGAGTCTGTCTGTCCGTATATCAGTCAGTGATAGTTTTTTCACAGCAGTATTGCTGGATCTTCACCTGTGGCATCGCACTAATTATCTGCACATGATGTGTTTTACATTCATTGCACAACTCACATGTATGTTAAGAGGGAAGACAAACCAAATAATCTGGTTTAAAAACCTTGTGGCATGGTAAAGAATAACACATCTTATAAACTCAATTCAAATTGTAATAAAGAGATTTGTTGTCTATTTTCCTGTTAGAAATGACATGATTCACGAAGAACTTTACTCCTGGAAGTCCGAGACTCGTCATTGCAGTGGAACAACATTCAATTCTGGAAAAGTAAGACAGCAATGTGCAATATGTGTATCTGTATTCTTTTACACCTTTTGCTGTTCATTAACCGCGAAGGGACTTTCAATCAAGCGAAACTGCATTGTCTTTAGCGCGAACGAACGTTCATTAACGCTTAGGGARKTTCADGARSGTRAARGGAGAATCATTAACATATTTAGCATAGACATGGACAATCATGCATAACTGGGCGCAGATTCATTAACGTTTTCAAACCTTCATTAGCCCATTATGTGCATTCAATAAACTACAACAAACATACAATACCAAAATACGGACATTTAATTTCGTCATAGTATTTATTTCTAGGATTTAAAGAGTGTTTAATAAGTGTGATATTTTACATACAAAAATTATCTTCATCCTTGAATATGCTCTCTATTTAGCATCTTGGTAAATAAGTTTGCATATGGTTGCGGTAGAACTATTAACCCCCAATGTAGCGGCAACCGCTAGATAATCCTCGGCCGGGTCCTCATACGCTCTTACAAGACGCTAGACTTTCACTTCGCTCGAAATTCGATGTCGACGCGGAGGCATTGCATTTCAACTTTAAACAAGTCGTAGTAGCTGTAACGAGTCATATTTCATGCTGAAATTTGACTGCAAAAACTATGTTGAAATTAAATGTCCGTATTTTGGTATTGTATGTTTGTTGTAGTTTATTGAAAGCACAWAATGGGCTAATGAAGGTTTGAAAACGTTAATGAATCTGCGCCCAGTTATGCATGATTGTCCATGTCTATGCTAAATATGTTAATGATTCTCCCTTCACGCTCTTGAAACTCCCTAAGCGTTAATGAACGTTCGTTCRCGCTAAAGACRATGCAGTTTCGCTTGATTGAAAGTCCCTTCGCGGTTAATGAACAGCAAAAGGTGTAATTGTCTCTTTTTTCTTTAACCCTTCTTTGTTTCTCATGAGTATTGGAAGGCTTACAGCAAAATGCGAAACGAAACGAAACGAAACGAAACGAAATGGTTTAGCCGTATTGGAACTATTATTGATTAACAGGTTGGAATAGCATTTTCTAAGTCAACAACTCAAAAAACACAATTTAGTGGGAAAACTCTTCCTGTTGAGTTTGAGATCACTGATTTACAAGTTAGAGATCTGAGATGGAACAATTACAGGATAAAGGTGCATAATTTATGTAATTATAAATGCATTATTATAAAATATATGAATTATACTGATTTGTGATTGGATAAGGAGTAACAATCAATTCTCTCTGATTTGGTGTCAGGATTCAACAAAAATTATTTTATTGCTGTACACTGTAGTATTATGAATTATCCTTTTCTACATTTGTTTTGCCCTCTTCCAAGAAAAATGATGATTATGATTATGACGATACATAWGTTGAGTGCTATTACATAATTTCATTGTCATTAGTATACATGGTCAAAGCTCATTCACAATCCAAGCCATTTTATGTCAAAGAGTTAAATTAAACCAAGATGCTAGTACATGTATATTTCAATATTTGAATCAAATACTCTTACAGATATTTATTGGTAATAAACAGTTAACATTCAACAAGACTCTCACCACCCCTGGTGTGCATCAACAAAACATCCCCATACCACTCCTTACTGGAAAGGTTGTCATGGTAATAAAGATGACAACTCCMAATGAACAATGCTTTCAAGATTCATTTCATATCAGGTAAGATTGGGGCATTTATAGCCCATAAAGGTCGGATGCGAATACATTATATTGCTTATCAAATTCCAACATAAGGTGAAGCATATTTCGAAAAAAACTTCAGGATAAAATATGATTTGTAAGAGAAAATCGAAGTTTAAGTCGTATGCAAATCAGGACAAATCTCTTGTTCATATAAAGATGCGGTCACGGCAATGATTTTCAATTGTGTTTACCTTATGAATTATTAATGAATTTGATAAGTTATGTACTTGATCTGGGGCCACACAGGAAACCCAAAAAGCACATGTCACTACAGTATAACACTTGTTTTTTCTATCATTCAGTCTGAACATCCATCAGTTTGATGACTTGCAATGGTGTTTACTAGCGCCATTCCTTACAATGTCGTGTCTACTTCTGGTTTTACATGGTCATGCACCACAAGGAGAGATCTTGCCAACTTTTATGAGAAGATAGCAAAGAAAATTTGAACCCAAAAACATTTTAATGTAAAAATTTGATATGTCTTAAAAGATTAAATTAACACAAAAGGTAAGAAAATGATGTAAGGAATGAGAGCAAAAGAAATCCCAGTTCCAAAGTCTAATTATCTTTTGAACATGAATGATATTTAATAAAATATGTTGCTTGTGGAAATATCATTATAATTATAGTTCAGGTATTTCTTAGAATTTTTAAATTAAAATCAAGAACAAAATATCTTTTGTAAATTCAAAAACTTTGTTGAGTAAACTTACTCACTGAATATTTATGACACAGGTTTGATTTTTAATTAATACTTTTATTGACTTCAATACTATATACAACTACAAGACATTTTATTTACTCAATTGTCTTAATTATCATTGTATAGTTCTTTGTTTATAAATGCAGCCTCTTTTTTTGTTAAGCTTTCAGCTGTCCCTACTTCCTATCATTGCTACATTCGAAAAAAATTTACACAGGCAACCCAATAACTCGTTAGAGACATTTTTGGATCTTTTTCTTTCTTCCACAACTACTTGCCAGTAGTAATATGTGGTAAACAGACTACAATTTCAGCATTTATGCTGTATTATTATTTAGCATGGCAACAATGCTAATTTGAACCTGTCATACTATTCAGATGACTTTTATGAAAAAGCTGTAATTTACAGACAGAAATACCACTATCTGGTGGGAATATTAAAAGCAAAAAAATAAAACTCTCTTTAGTTAGTAACTATGCTACTACTAATTAGCGGTTACTATGTATTGCTTAACTATGCTCTACAAATATTACATGTTAGTTTTTACACTGTTTATCTTAGCATGAAATGCTACTAGTATTATGCTCTGTCACAAAAATAACCATTATTAATAGCAATAATTATCATATTTCATTATTTCTTACTAAAATAATACATTAGTACAATGTTTGAATCGAAAATCATGTTTTCAGGAAACAAGGCACTGTCTATTTTTATTTAACGTAGTGTTTTAAACACTTGGGTTGAATTATTTATTCAAGCAAGTATTATTTATGGTATCAAAATTAATGTGAAAGTGTTTACTATCTTGGAGTATCTCCTGATGGGTTAGACATCTGTCTTTGTGGGCGACTGAAAGGATTAACAAATGACACATTGGTCTTCTTCTTCCTTGCTAAATGTCCTGTTGAAAATAAGGAMGAATTGGATGATAWWTAATCAAAATTCCTTGGTGASAGATTCCTTGCGAGGTTAGAAATTCAAAAATTTACCTTCAAGCTTTGATAAACTTAGACGGTCAATGCGGCATCTTATGGCCCCTCCACCTAATAAAACAAAATTACAGAAGGTTATTAAAGACATCGGAATTACCTCGAGACATTGTCCTCTAATCTCATTCATTTGATCGGAAAGAATACTAATTCTTTATTGGGCTTTAGAGTTAGAATGGTGCCTTAAAACCAGACAKTGATAATATTTGACCAGGAACTGTAAAGGTCTTGTGGATTAATGATTAATCAGAGTTACCTACCTTCGCCTTCACAAGTTGTGTGTCTGAAAAAAAAAGAAAAAATATATTTTATAATGAATTCTACAAGACAGTGGTTGTTATTTGCAACAGAAGTTTTCCTTATCACTTGGGAAATGCCATGTGAACAAAATTTGCTGCAAGAACAWCATGATATTACAGACATTATTATCATCCCAGGACAAAGAAAAATAACTTGCTTTATAGACAATGCTCACTATTACAGATACTTATTCAGTAGACCCAAAGTTTCAGTTCTAACAAGGGTTTGTTTTAAATGATTTAATACTTACTCATCAATATCTTCCTCRCACTCAACACAAGACGATACCATGGCATCWATCATCACAGCTTGCTTGGARAAGATCTGGAGTCTTTGCACTGTTGTAGTGCCATCATCTTCCTTGGAATCAAAYTCTACCCAGAAAGTAGCAAGACAGTCTTCATCTCCCTCATCTGCTGGTGTGTAGTCCCATGAAAGTTCATCAAAACCCAGAGATAAGAGAATATCCTACAAAAGGAATTATTACATGTAAACTTCATTTTACAGGCCTTTAGTTTTTTATCACAACTGTTCCATTAGAAATGATGATGCTCAAACTTCCTTAATAGCTAGTTACCTTGAACACTCAAAATTGTCTCTGTATTGACTTACATTTTTAGTTTCATCAATAATATGGATTTTTTCTCTATTCACAGCAACTTTAACAGGAAGGTCTGACTTGCCAAGTAAGCTAGAAAATCGTTTTGATGGTTGCTCAATCTGACCAGTGAAAAACACACTCCTTGAAAACAAACACACAAAACAATGAGTGTTACTTTTTCGCAACCTCATTCTAGGGCCTTCTCCAAGAAGTTTACTTTTTTGCCCATTGCGAATGGGCTTCCTGTGGAAACCTAAGACAGGAAGCCCAAACAGTAGCATATGTTCAATAATTCATGAATCTTACCCATAATAAGGAAGGCTCCAGCATCGTTCCAAAAAGAGCTTATAAAAWCCTGGAAGACCAGACGTGCACGCTGATGCTTCTTTGTAACTATCCAGMAGTTGTTGTTCAAGAGTGGTTCGAGCAGAGCGACTGTGAAGCCAACCTACTTTGCAAGCAGATATAGGTAGATATTCTGTTATCTTGTCCCTGCAGAAATTAACAGTTAAATATTAATGAGTTTCATTCATTTTGTAGATATTTACAAGACTAGTGGCCCTAGGGTTTGAATATGAAATTAAGAACTCWGACTTTGTAGGTGTTGTGATGTGTGGCAGGGTTCTCAGTAGAAAGATTTAAGTAGAGAGCWATTCTAGCAAACACAGCCAGATATTATTTAGCTTCATAAGAAGAAAGCAAAACAGCAAATTATTTTATCAAGAAACTGATTATTGAGCTTATTAAACCATTGACTTCTGSTTCTATTGAGAACCCTGAAGGTGTGCCTTTGCATCAGTCAGTAATTGGTTTACCAATGAAGAATATTGTCCATCTCTCAGTGACAGAGTAAAACATTAATCTATATAGCTAATGTAACATACCCAAGTGTCTTGAGGAATCCAAGTTTGTGGATATTTTCATTGAATTTGCCATTTTGAAGAGCTAAAAGGACACCTCCAAGTTTGATGCTCTCTTGTTTTGTGACTGGATAAAGTCCAGAKAGGACATTGTTTCTTGCCTTTGGAAGACAATAGAAAAATATATTAATGATATATAAAAGTGGAAGATAACAGAGTTTRTCATTTCTTTATTTAAGGAAAAGGAATGACAATGAATGCTATAACACATAATTCCCAGGAAATCACACTTGACTATCACATTTAGTTCACATCATAGCTTCAGTCAAGCATAGCAACCAGGCATTACCATAGCTACAGGTGTGCGTGGACAAACTCGCATAGTTTAATCACATTTTCAACCGACAGAAGATAGTATTACCTCTTCAAACAGTCTTTTTATTGATCCATTATCTTCAATCTAAATTATAAAACATTAAAATAAGCTTTGATAGATATAAAGTACTTTTGGAAAAACTATAAACAATRCATTGGAAGGGGCTTATAAATTACGTTAATTATAAATTATGCGGTCATTAAATATAGAGCCTTGMACACAGTGAGGCTGCTTAAACTACTTGTAATATTACCAATTATTTATACCTTCTTTTCATCTTGCAAAGGGTAAAATGAATTTCTCTGATAGCTAAGGATAGGTTCATCTAAACAAAGAACCATTATAAATCAACATTAATGATTGCAAATATAATCTACTGTATATAACGAACTGCTTTGTACTATTTTGTTAATAGTGTTCACAAAAAAATGAAAATTCATAAGATATTCTGCTCAGTTGCTGATTTTGTGCAAATGTGTTGCTATTTATTGAATTTGTAAATATTCACTGGTTTTAAAAACTATCAGTGATATTATTACTATTATGTAAACTGAGTTAATTACCAATTTCAATAGCTTCATGGTTTGCATTKGTAAATTTTTGAAGAAGTTCTGGCCAAACCTTCCTCAACCTRTAGGGYACATGATGATCTTTTAACTGCAGTTCTGTAATTAGATAATAATAAATGAAAGATTGAAAGACGACCTGRAAATGGTCAAACTTGCTGCATAAAAGTAATTCAAGAAGAACATAGTAATTACAACTTKGGMAAAATTGAAGAACAACATAATTTYATACTCAATGYGCACAGACTATTTGAATACTTACGCAGYAATGGTGATTTTAGCCAAATACAAAAAGCTTTGTCAGCTTCAGCAGGTAGACTTAGTGTCTCCCTCATTATTTTGGACATGGAACCAGCAGTAGCACTCTTTCCATCTTCTAAATTCAAGAGACGAACAGCCTTCTCAACAAGAAACACRGCTACAGTCAAAGGACCTCTTGACTGCATCCGATGGATCATTTCAGGATGACTTCCATGTGATTTGTGATGGTGAGCTTTCTTGATAACAGATTTCTTGTCCTCGGGGTAGGAATGAGTTCTTTTGTAATCAGATTTGGCTTGTTTTGTTTTCTCTTTTTCTTCTGATGATGCAACTGATTTAAGCTCCAGCCCGTCATCCTCTGGGATTGTTGCCATTCTATAGCTGTATTTTCTTTTCCCTTGGTTAATTAAAATATAAAGAAAGTTTCAGTTTTCCTTTCAATTGGCCTTTTTGTCATCAATATATCCTTTAACTAAGTCTCCCACCTGTAAGTTATAAAGCCTCACGGAAATTTTTTTAAATTATTGCCCAGTACACAAACCTTTAAAAACTGCTTTCATATTCAGCCTAAGGCTCTCTACCAACCAACTGGTACTATTATAGATCCTATTTAAGTTTTTTTATGTGGAAAACCTCAAAAATATAATACTCTAATTTCTACAGTTTGTTGCACAGCTTGACATGCAATTCAATGAAGTAAAATAGAAACCTATAGACCTGTCTTCTTCAATTCTTAGAATTTCAAATTAGTTAACTAGTTACAGAGCAAGGTCCACGACTGAATCTTACTWTAGCAGTGCTGGCAACCCAACAGATCTAAATAATTCTGCCTCCAATGACTKTGTAATGTCTTTTGATAAAATTTTCCCACTATTTTACTTGSTCGTCATTAGCATTTTCAAATAACAGACCCATWAATRGCCAATCACAATGAAAAATAYATGGGATGGCTATTTAGAATTCTAGAATTCATAATATATTAATCACAAATATTGAAAATATAGGACATGAATGAGTAAATCACCAAGAGCTTTGTCCTGATTTGCATACAACTTGAAAATACATGTACTTTCTCTGAAACATAACTGACATATTACCTTAATTTAAAGTTTTTAGCAAAATATGCTATAAAAGCTATGTTTGGGATTTGATAAGCATTAAATTATATTTTGGTGTAATCTGTAAAAAATCCTCAAATAGACTACTGCTTATATTAACTTAAATTGTTAAAAACACACACTTGAAGTAGACAATGTATGTACATAAATGTGTTAAAAATAATCATTTTTGGAATAAATTAAAGATTGTTAAAAACAAAACTTTTGAGATTCATATACATAAAGCCACATAAAACCACAATAACCATATGACCATCTGTTATAGGAAATCAGAGGATGTCATACTTTTATAGCATATTTCAACTAAGCTTTGAATGCAGTTTRAGCTTAAGATATTAAGATATGCAAATATTTTGCACTTATCCTTCATATCTCTAAAAAACATTATTTCTTTCGTATTCCAAATGAAGCAYTGCATGAATCCAAAGAAGCAAACTTTGGAATTTGAATTCTATTGTTTAGAAGCAGACTTCTAAATAGCCAATTGCATGCAGTTGTAAACAAAGATTTTGCAATCGATTGACGTCAATCAGTTTTACAGTTTAGCAGACTGCGAACACGATAAACAAAGAAATTTCATCCTGTCAAATACCTATGTTGTTATATACCTTTATATCGAAGCTGTTTATAATGGACTTTTTTCAAAATGTCTTCCTTATTGGAGGCCATCTTTGAGAGAACAAGTTATAAACCCAACTACTACTGTCTTAAAAGCGCGTACAAGTTTTGAATCACTGTTCAAGCCTTACCTTTTGTTCCAAGTTCCTGTCTCTTGTATCAAGTGAAAGTTCCTTCTTCGATTGTTCGTAAACAATGTTGTGAAGTTAACAAAGTCAAAACGGAAAAATTTGGAATGGCACACCTCACTTGATTCGTCACATCACCGAAACTTTAGACTATTATGCAAAGCAGGCAAAAAAATCACGTCACTTTTTGAATCTTTTGAAATCTTACTAAGGTATTACAGCCTGGTTAATAGAGATCGCCAGTTAAAATGACTTGGAGAAGTCGTAACTTATCTTTCAAGGSCAATTTTGCTCTGTGATCGAAGTCACACTGCAAAGTGGCTTTTGTAAATTGTACCCATGATGCATCTGTMAGCCAAAATTTTTGTGTGACATCCGGTTCCGGTCGAACGCCCACACTATCGCCTTCAAACTGTGCTAGTTCATTGCTCAAAAAGTTTAAATAACAAGAAAAATTATGTTGTTGAGTTTTGTGAACTCTTTTTTAAATATTCCAATCCATCCAAAAATTACTTTCCTCCTCAGATTTTTCATTTGACCATTTTTTCGTTTTATTTTTTCCATTTTTTAAAGACTTTGTCATACTGACTTGGATACTCGTCTTTTACTCAAATCTTTATCCTGCTCAGGAAGTCCTTGACGTTTTATTATCAAAGGCGTTTCAGTGATACAGCACTTTTACTGGAGTTAGTGCTGAAAGGGTGTTCAAGGTCATCATATGTGGGAAGAGGAACTATGACGTCATTGGACAGCAAGCCTACGTCATAATCGTCACATCCTAATATAAGCAAGTTATTAGTCACATGCAAGATTTATCAAGTTGATAAATCCATCTCTATAAGAAATAATGCTTTAATAATTTCGAAGAAATAAAAATAGCGAGAAAAAAAAAATAGTTTGCATTGTTAGCAATAGCACTAACAGGGATTTGGAATGGATTAATGAGTTGTAGTGATGTAAACAAAAGAAAATATACAGTGAATGGGTCTACATTCTTTTTTTTAAATTTCAGTTTCTTTTTTTGTTTTTCTTTTCCCGATTGTTCAATCGTGTGGGACTGGAATACAATTGATGCCCAATCTCTTTGGCCGTGTGTGGTTTTCAAAATGGTGGCCGGAGCGTTTCCTGTAGTAAAATTGATGAGCTTACTGACTAAACAGATCTCCAAACCAATTGCAAATGCTATTAAATCAGGTGCAAAACAAAATGCATTCTTTAGGAAGTATTTCTGCGAGTTACCAGGTCAAGGTAAAGAAATAAGTCTTGGATTTTTGTAGAATACAAACTTTAAAATTTGCTTAATACCAAATGCACTCTTATGTATTGAAGTGGCTAAGCTATTTCCCTAAGAAGACATGAACATTTTATAGTGTTTTACGTGGYATTGAGCTTTGAGTTATCCATTTTCTAGGTTGTGATTAGTTTCATTGAGTATAGCACATCTCTTGTGAATTTTTTGTTGTCATTTCATAAAAGTCATGCCATTTGTTAACATTTTGATATTATTGTAAGGGTTTCACAGGCTGGAAACAAATGTCAAAATGAAGCTCATGGGTCACGTTGGTCCAAGCGAAGTCAAACCTCTTAATGAACAAGTAGCAGTYAATCTTGCTGCAGAAATGCTTGGCGAGGGATTTTTATTTGCAGTTGGAGTGGGAACATTACTTTTTGAATATCGTAGAAGTGCTAAAAAGGAAGAAGGAAAAGAAGCAGARCAAAATAGAAAATTAGATGAACTAGAAAGCAAAATYAGTGAGCTTGGAATTGTYATTGAGCACCAAGCTGCAGAAATGAGAGAATTGAACAGACTTCTGCAGAGTTTTAGAGGGAGTGAAAATAAGAATATACCAAAGAAATCTTAATAGTGTAACATAATATTAATATATAACTGCAACAGCAAGACAACTCGTTTTAACACTGCAACCTCAGAACTCTCACAATTATATCCAAACTRCATGAGATTTCYGCAAGAGAGGTTAGRTTTTCTGGCTATGACCARGARTGGAATATTGCCCTGTCTGGCCCAACTACRTGTAATTCAG